AGGATTTAGGGTTTAGGGTCGAGGGTAGGTTCGAGGCTGAAGTTGAGTTCGATTTCAATCGCCCGAAACAACTCACCCGGGCCTTGGCCGGCTTCATACAAACCTACTGTACTAGACTCTCAGTATACAGTATTTAGGGTTTAGGGTTTAGGGTTTAGGGTTTAGGGTTTAGGGTTTAGGGTTTAGGGTTTAGTTAGGGTTTCAGTATACACCAGGTACTGACAGGCTCAAAACACAACAGTGTTCAGATAGGAGCCTTCATTGGAACTTGTTGTTGGGGGAGGGGGCTGGGGGTATAATACGGCAGCTATAGTTGTGCAGTGAACCCTTATAGGAAAAATATTGGCAATACCTCAGGACTCTGCACTGCGAGGACCTGCACCCAGAAACCCACGCGCGAAAAAAACAAGTAGCACAACCCTGAACCCTAAACCCTAAGTCCCAAAACACGAATAACCCTGAACCCTAAACCCTAAACCAACAAGTATAACCCCGGACCTTTCACCCGGCATGCATCACAGATCTGCATGGCCGACCTGCTGACCCAAGAGTCCCATCGCCGCCTTCATCGATGCTTCCTGGACCACGCTTCTTAGGGGCTGGGGGCTTGGGGCTCACGGTTTACGGTTTCGCGCTTAGGGCTTAGGATGAGGATGATGACGACGCTGAGACCGATGATACTCGTTCGTGTGAGTCATGGCGATGGCGGTGATGACAGTTATGATGGTGATGACGGTGATGATGATGATGATGATGATGATGATGATGATGGTGATGATGATGACGATGGTGATGGGGATGAGGATGAGGATGAGGATGCGGATGACGATGACGATGACGACGATGAGGAGGAGGAGGAGGAAGAGGATGATGATGGTGATCACGTTGATGACGATGATGATGATGATGATGATGATGATAATGATGATGACGATGATGGTGATGATGAATATGACCATGATGATGGTGATGATGATGATAATGATGATGATGATGGTGATGATGATGATGATGACGAGGTTGATGATGAGGATGAGGATGAGGATCAGGATGAGGGCGATGGTGATGTTGATGGCGATGATGACGACGATAATTATGATGGTGATGATGATGGTGGTGATGATGATGAGTATGAGGATGACGGTGACGGTGACGGTGACGGTGAGGGGGACGACGATGAATGCGATTCTGGAATGCAAGATACGTAAGTATTGGTGGAGGCAGATAATGTACAACACATGTTTATTCTCCCAGTTTGTTCGTCCTCGTCTCGGTTCCTTTTTCACACTGGCACACGTTCTACCAATACTGTGCCACCTCTGGTCAATCTAGAGGCCGTTCTTTCAGGGCTGGAATCACCTACCCCACCAGCTGACCTCAAACGTATAGATGCTTGAGAGTCCAAGGAAACGGTGTGCCCATCGCAAGTTGCCGTAGTGACTTGCAAGCACTGAAGATTACCAAAATCAACTGAAACCCTGAACCCTAAGAGACCTGCAAGTCCAAACAAAGTGACACTTGGGTGAGAAGGCCGCCAAGTGCCTTTCTCACGTCACGGAAACTTTGCAGGGTCAATACAAGAAGGAACCCTAACGTATGATGTTGGTCGTTGTCAAAACTAGGGTCCCTTTTGGGGTACCCTAAATAATAGGTGCCGTAGTATAATAAGGACCCAAAAAGGGACCATAAGTTGACAACCACCCATGTTGGTACTCCATCTGTGGGCCCGCGCTAACCCCCCACCCAAACCACCCAAACACCCAAAACCCACCTTGGAGGCTTGCTTGGCGGTGTGCAGGGCATGCCCTTGGCAACCGGCATTCTGGGTTTAGGATCAAGGGCAGGCTTTAACCCTAAACCCTAATCCTGAAACCCTAAATGCTAAACCCTAATCCTTAAACCCTAAACCCTAAACCCTAATCCTTAAACCCCAAACCTTAACGATCTTCCCTGGACCAACCCGGCCAGAACAGCCACAAACCCTCAACGCTGAGGTTTTGGGCTACTGTTATTACTGAGGAACCCTATGAGCCCTACAGATTCAAGCCAGGGTTTCGGTTTTAGGGTTTAGGGTTCAGGGTTTAGGCTTTAGGGTATAGGGTTTAGGGTTTAGGGTTCAGGGCTCAGGCTTTAGGGTTTAGGGTTTAGGGTTTAGGGTTCAGGTTTCAGGGCTTAGGGATTAGGGTTCCGCAAGCCGGAAGAATCTCAATATCAAGCCGCTTGAAGACCCATTGGAATCTCTAAGCCACCCTGTGCTTTCCTCACAAAACTCTACAACTTGGTTTAAACTGCAAAAGTCCACCAAAACAAAAAAAACCGAGGTGTCTGTCGAGGGCCCTGGGATCAACAACATTAAGAGGTTTAGGGCTTAGGGAGTATATAAGTGTTGAGATACCCCGGACTCCTGAAGCCGGAAGATTGAACAACCCCACAAGCCAAACATTTAAATGGTTTGGCTTTAGGGTTACTTAACCACAGAAGGACGGTTGCATCCTGGAATCGTTCGGCCATGGCCATGTGATGAACCTTACTGGAGGAAGCCGGGCTTTATAGCGTTTGGGTGGGTGCCTCCGGAAGGTAATGCGAAACACACATCCGACACCTCACAGTGCTGCCAACTGCAATTCCTAGAAACTGAAATTATCCTAAACCCTAGACCCTAAACCCTAAACCGAGTGAATAATGAAGTACTGTCGTCTTGCAAGTGTATCTACACTGAGCTTCTCTTGGGGTGGCTCCTATGGGGCCTCTGCATATCAGAGCCTTGGTACAATGAAGCGAGGCCCGAAGTTTAGGGCTAGGATTTAAGGTTTAGGGTTTGGGGTTTTGGGTTTGGCCCTTGAAATCAGCTTTTAAGGAACCCCTTTAAGGAATCCTTTGGGGAACCCTATTTATAGATACTTCCTTTCGGCCCCAACCTAAATCCAAACCCTACACCCGATACTCTAAAACCAGAAAAACCCAAGGTTTAGGGTTTATAGTTGTGGGTTTAGGGTTTATAGTTTAGGGTTTAGGGTTTAGGGTTCAGGGATGATTTCAACTCCGGTACACAACCTTGGAGATTTGGTTCTTCATGATCGAACGTGGCCGCTAAACCCAAAGCCAGCGATACGTCTCAAGGCTACTGCAACCTGCAGATCATATGATGCAGATCCTGTGCAAGTCTTCTTCTGCAAAGACGGCACAGCGTCCCGGCTGATGATGAGATCCCTTTTTTGGAGCGCTGCTTCCTCAAGCCCTCCCTCCAGCTTAAACCACAAAGCCCTGAAAGCCACAAACCTCCAACCAAAAGATCTCCTCAGAGAGATCTGGGGTTTCCGAAAATAAGGGACCCTAATATAGTACCGTAAATAATAGGATCCTTTTTATAAGGACACCAGAATAAGGTACCCTAGTTTTGGGAAACTCCCATTTCTTTTCTGCAACCTCTACGGGTTTAGGTTGTAGTCGAGAACGACAGCTAGCAGCTAGCCGAACACGGGCGTAGGGCTTAGGCCTTAAGGATAGCTCTGCAGCTGAAGGAACTTGTAATGAAGGCGCCGAAACCTTCCAGCAAATCGGGTTCAGCTGTTCTGCGTTTGGGAGATTTCCTTGATCGCGGGTAAATCTGAATCCCAAACCCCATACCCTGCATTCAACACCCTAAAACCCTAAAAATTGAAACCCTCAACGCCCAAGCAAACCTTTTCATCTCAAGGGACGTTCACCCAGGCGTTGAGCAGCGCTGACTTGAGTCCCGCTTCGTTGTTCCCCAACCTTTCGCTGTGACTCGGGTTTAGAGTTTAGGGGTGTGGGGGGGGAGACGGGGAGAGGCTTGGGTTCAGCGATTATGGTTTGGGGCTTATAGTCTCGAGGTCTTTGGTGTTTGTTTTTAGGGCTTGGGATTGTTGGTTTCGGACTTCACATTTTTGGGTTTGCGGTTTGCGATGTTTTTTTAAGATTTGGGGCTGTCGGTTTTGCTGAAACGATCAAAACCTCAGCATGCACGGCTACCAGCCACTTACACAACCCATATCTAATTAGAACGCATAGCCATGCATTACGGCTGTAACCCCGTTTCAAGTACTTTCAAACCAGGCTTACAACCACCCGTATACGTTGCAAGTAGAGCAGTTCATACCGTTGGATTCATGGGACTGTGTATACAGCTTCCGGGCGACTTCATGAGGCTGTTTTAGCAGTCGCTGGAGCTATAAAACTGTCGACGCCTAAGATCAATCACCTCGTGTGACATTCTTCAAGGGGTCAACTCTGAAACAGCTAAGACACCCGGAATCCTGAACCCTTAGTGTAGAGCGCTGAACTCTCCCCATGAAGCCAGGAGTATGATGGAGATCCTACGGACCAACTATAGGAGCATTAATAATTAGAGTAAGGTTTTGGTATACATTAAACAAGTTATACACGAATCCTATCTATCGTCGTAATAACAACAATAAGAAACCCGCAGCAATACGATTGGAAATTCTTCCGACCCCGACATTGGACAGCGAAGCCTCCGAAATGCCCAGAATGGGCTGAAGGGTTCGGTCCCAGCTCCGGCTGTACTCCAGGCTTAGGGCTGTAGGGTTTTAGGGTTTAGGGCGTAGGGTTTGCGGTTTAGGGTTTAGAGGTTTAGGGTTTACGGTTCTCGGGCAAGAAGGTTTTAGAGTTTTGGTTTAAGCAGGTGCCTAGCGAATCGGAAAATGGTTCGTCCCGCTTTAACAAGAAAACCCGTGTCAAGCGCTTCTGGAACCCCCCACACAACTTGCCCTTATGAAACCTCTACAGAACTAAATCCCTCTAGAAAACGACCCAGAACCATAAAGGGACGTTCAAAGGCTTCAAAGGCTTCGAAGCCCACTTCGAAGTGAGGGGGTGCCCGTCCTCTCAAACGCCCCTTGCTCTCTTCAGCTGCGAAGAAATGAAACGCAAAAAGGAGAAGCCACACGAACTCGCTTTAAGGGGGTTAAGAGCGAAGAAAATGAAATGAAATACAATTGAAAACGAAATCAAAAATCCGCCGGATAAAAAAAATAATTGAAACGTCTTCTCCAACCGACCAGAAGGAGAAAGTCAGACGTCCTCAGCAGGTGTAGGCGCCACACACAAGCGATCCGATAACACCACAAACATCGGCGTTGTGCACACTGTGAGTGCCGCGCTGGCCCAGGAGATGCCAAGCCACAAAAGAAACTCGGCCCCAAGCTGGACGGACCAGCAAAGGAGACAAGGCTTCTTGTGCAACGGAGCCGTCCTTCTCGCAGATGCTCCAGCCATCCTGCATATATGCACGGAGACTTGGTGCATCCTTCGACCTGTGCATCCTTCGACCTTCAAGGGCCTCCATTGCCACACTGCACCAAGTGCAGTCTGACATAAGAACTCTGGCTTGAGTTCCTGTCGCAAGCAGGCGCGGCGAAGGGTTTTCTTGCAAGTTGTTTTTCTCCGGCGGGGTTGAGACGTTGGAAATGTTTAAAAGGTTTAATTAAACATAAAGCGTCGAAACATTTCTGTGAACATGAGCCTTATGTTCAATACGGTTTCAGCGCCAAAACTCTTTAGCCCATCCTCGGCCTGCGGGTAGCTTTCCAGTGCACGAAGCAGGGCGGGAAGCTCGTTGAGCAAGCGCTCCAGCACGTTAGCAAAGGCCAGCGGCCCGCGCCGGCCTGCACTGAACTTGAACACGAGAGGTTGGATGTTCACGAACCCGGGCCAGACCTCGTGTTTCGTGCATGTCCTGAAGCGGCCAATCCAGCAGGTTGGCAGGATTGATGCCGAAGTTGAAAATGACAGCATCCTTCAACTTGTTGATGGTGCATTTTGAGCCAAGGTCAGTATTCCACGGCTTTGTCTCCTCACCCATTCGTAAGTAAATCTGGACGACTGCCGAACGGTCATAATTCTTGTCCTTGCTGGGATTGATGGCAACTTTCAACTGGGACTGTGTGTCCTTATCTTCTTCAAGAAGCTCTCCACCTTGGAGACGTCGCTGGCAATCAAAGCGGCTGGGTCAATCTCTTCCTGCTTTGTGTCGTCTGGTTTAAGCTCCTGTCACAGCCAGGCGAAGGGTCTTCTTGCAAGTTGTTTTCTCTCGGGGCCGGGCAAATGTTGGGTGAATTGAAACCCGATGGCTGTGAAAAAAACGTTGTCTTTGGATGGGCTCGTGTATGGTGACAATGCTATTCAGTTTAAGGAATTCCTGGCGTGAGAAGGGGAACCTACGGGTTAAGGATGCAGGGCACTCACAGCACTCGGATGAGGCGATGAGAGCCAGATATTTCTCAAAGCTCCTCAGACGAAGGGCCGCTTTAGGATCCTTGCTGCAAATAACAGAAAATTCTGTGATAGGGTTTAGGGTTGAGTTGAGCTTCTAAGGCCTAGGGTCAATTTCCTAAGGGTCCGTGTAGTAAATTAGTCGAAAAGGCAACTTTTTGCTTAAGGATACTTGCAAGTCTCTGCTAAACCCCAAACTCAACACCCTAACTACCCCCTTTAACTGAAACCTTGAAGCCCCAAGCCCTTTATTAACCCCTAGCCCCAAACCCAAACCCCAAACCCCAAACCCAAGACCCTCTGATTCCGATGCCCTGGTTTGGGCAGGATGCATAGCTCGACCGGCGCGCATGGCAGCAGCTTTGGCTGCCTCCAGTCAGCAAGTCAGGGTTCTATACCATTCCTTTCCGAGACCTCTATATGGCCATATTCGGGTCTGTAAACCCTAAACCCTAAACCCTTCTATCGGGCTGCAGGCTTGCAACTGGGGAGACTCAAGGATCCTAGCTTTTCAGCCCTGCTGTGCCTGGCCCGATAACTACTGCGACTACTCCTCTTCATACTGGGTGGCTCTCTAAATACATCCTTTTTGTAAGGGTGCCGTACTGCTTTGGGGACACCCAAGAATGGACCCGAATCTAGAGAACTACCCTACTGGCCTAAACCCCAAGCCCCAAACATAACACCCCAAGCCCTCAACACCCGTCAAAACTCGGAGTCCACTGCCCGGACCTTCCTCCCAAAGATTCTTATGCTTTCCGGCTTCCCTAATTGGTGGCTCATGGGTAATGTAGGGGCCTTAATAATTAGAATAGGGTTTTGGTGTATATTCTACTAGAACTATAATAAGGAACCCTAAGAATAGTATGAGTAATTATCCAGGCCTATTCTACTACAACTATAATAAGGAACCTCCGAAATAGTATTGGGAATGATTTAAGCCCCTATATTACCCCTAAACCTAGACTTTAAACCCCAAAATCCCAAAACCCCAAAATC